ATTGTACAAAATAAAAAGTTAAAATCAAAATTGAAAGAGGAAAAAGAAGGAAACAGGACTTAATCGTGAAGATTAGAAGTTGAAAGTCTAATTTGCAAAGAAATAAGGACTTTATTGAAAAGACAGAGGACTAGTAGTTCCAATAGTTTCAACTTGAGGGGCTTAATGTTGTAAAAAAGGAAAATGATTAAAATGGGCCAGACGGCCCCGACCAGATATCTGTCGTTTGGATTATTTTTAATCTGACGGTGTAAGGGTAAGATTGAAATGGCATTCCACGCCAAATACATCTTAGCCGTTGGATAGAAGTCAATCAAGGGTTCCGAAACTTCCCCTCACCTAAAAATCCTCTCCCCAGAAGTCGTTTTTTCTTTCTGGGAAAAAAATTCCATCTCCGATCATGTTCATCTAGAATACCGATTGCACTCGCCATCTCCGCTCCTGGTTCTCTCTCCCTCTCGAAAACCTCCTGCTTTCCTGGCCGGCGCTGATCCTTCCGGCTGACTTTCTGATTGCCATCTCCACCAGACCAATCCAGGCAAGTTTGATCGGCGGCGATTGCGTTTATGGGATCTGAGCCCTAGCGTTCCAATTCCGATCTTCAGGGCTGACAAGCTACAGAGATCTGTTTAATTTCCGGCAGTAAATTCTTCTGTTTCCTCTTTCCCTAGTTTTCTATTTTTTCGGTTGCTTCTTGTTTAATCATGGACGGGAACAAAGATGATGCTTTGAAATGCTTGAAAATCGGCAAAGAAGCGTTGGACGCTGGGGATCAGGCTCGTGCTCTCAAGTTCCTCACCAAAGCTCGCCGCCTTGACCCCAGTCTTGCCGTGGATGATCTATTGGCAGCGGTTGGAAAGGATTCTGATGATCAATCGGTGCCAAATTCTTCTGGGTCGACCAAAGACGACGCATCTCGGTCCACTTCATCTAAGCCATCCGATCAACCTTCAATTCGCCAGAGGAATACATCAATCGGGTCTTCATCGTCGTCTCCATCATCAGCTTCTGTTTATACAGAAGAGCAAATAACAATTGTGAGGGAAATCAAGAAGAAGAAGGATTATTATGAGATATTAGGATTGGAGAAGTCATCTTCTGTGGAGGATGTTCGAAAGGCTTATCGGAAACTTTCTCTGAAGGTTCATCCTGACAAGAACAAAGCCCCCGGAGCTGAGGAGGCATTCAAGGCAGTTTCTAAAGCGTTTCAATGTCTTAGCAACGAAGAGAGCAGGAAGAAATATGACCTTGTGGGATCTGATGAGCCGGTATATGAGAGGCGGGCTTCAAGGTATCATGGAGCTCAATCATTTAATGGATTTTATGATGCTGATTTTGATGCTGATGAGGTATTTAGGAATTTCTTCTTTGGAGGAATGCCTCCTGCTACTACCCATTTCCGCAGCTTTAATTTTGGGCCTGGGATGGGAGCAAGAATGGGCGATAATGGCTCTGGTGGTTTCAACATTCGCACATTGATTCAATTATTACCGGTGTTACTCATCCTCCTTTTGAATTTTTTGCCATCTTCGGAGCCGGTTTATTCACTGTCTCGCTCATACCCTTATGAGTACAAATTCACAACTCAAAAGGGAGTGAATTATTATGTGATGTCAACAAAGTTTGAGGAGCATTACCCTCCTAATAGTCATGAGCGTCTACGGCTTGAGGAGCGTGTTAACAGGGATTATTTCCAAGTGTTGGCACAAAACTGTAGGTTTGAGCTGCAGCGGCAGCAGTGGGGCTTTATTCGTGAGACACCACATTGTGATTTGTTACAGAAGTTTCAGTCTGCAGCTTGATGGCTAAGATTTGAGGTCTCTTTGATTTATTTTTACTTTGATTTAGCTTGCATTCTGTTAATTCAAAACTTTAGATGATGGTTGTCTACTTGTTTTGAGGATAATATTAGTTTAAGGAAACATAATAAGTATGTTTCATAAGCATGAGTATTTGAGATACTGTTTTAACTAAAGCATAGAAATGAGCTTATTGGCATCTCTGTTGCTATGTTTTTATGAATGTTGATGCATTTGGTTTTGAGGATACATGTTTATAATACGTTCTGCATCTTAGGTTCTTAAAAGTATTACTCATAACCTTTTTATTGTAATAGAATAGAAGAATGAGTCTGGTAAAAGAAGGGTATAAATTGTTGAATCTTGGTCATTGAGTTATTTTATGTGAGGGCAAAGACAATTCTATTATTTTTTTTTTTTCTTTTTTTGGGTATATCAGCTGATGGGCCATAGGGGATAGCCCTCCCATTCCCAAACCCTACGCCACCCATCTCAGTATTTGAACTTGAGATCTTCGACACGGAGATTGAACCTCTTAACTACTGAGACATCCCTTAAGGAAGTAACTTATGTTCCTAAATCTTACAAGATATCTGCCATGCTACCTTGAAGCTGCACTCAATGGCTTTTTATATTTTTATCCTTTCCAAAGTTCATAGCATGCTGCTTGGAATTTAGAAATTATTTAATGTTACTATAGTGCTGCGGTGCTGCCTCAAAATTAGCTTTTCTCTTGCAATTTCTGAGTTCTTCAATGTGCATTCAGGCTTGATCCTGTTGCACAAGTTAGACATGTTTATCAATAAGTAGAAGACCTTAGATGTAAGATTCTTGTGGTTTTCCTTCAATGAGAGGAGGTGGGAACATTTGATAGCCCCTGTAGTGTTGTCCCTTCTCTTGTTGTGGAGTCAAAGCTTTAATCCCAACCTAAGAAGGAAAAAGGAGGAAAATAATTTTAGCTAAATTTAGTAATCGTTGGTTGGGAAACTCAAGCCTGATTACTAAATGTACTACTGAGTAAGAAATACTGAGCAGCTAACTGAATTTTTTTGGAAATGCAAGCAGCTAACTGATTTAAGTCTAACCAATCAATGAATTTGATTCCATATTTGTTATCTATACAATTTGCATGGCATAGGTTTCAACTGACATGCTGCATTATTTTCTTCGAAAAATTTCCTGATTGGTGGTATTCTTTTCCATCCAAAATATGATAATCAACTGCTTTGAACTATCACATAGCTTTGAAATAACATGAATGAGGAGAGTGATGATTTCCCTTTTGGCAAGTAGACGGCTTAATATGCAGGATATGTTGTGAACATACGAGTTTTTCCCAAACATTTTGGTTGTGAAAGAGGTCCCTAGCTTTAATTCTGGCACTTCTGTAACATCTAGGTGCTCCGAATACCTTTTATTAACATCTTTTAGCTAAAACGCATCTTGTCTTCGTGTGGATGCTCAGAAGCAATTTTCTGTTTGGGACTTTGAGCCTCTCATCATGGCGTGTATTTGATCTTATACCTCTGGTTTGAGGTTGGACTTGGGCTGATTTTTTTTCTTTTTTTTGAACATGGGGACTTTTTGGGGAAGGGGAAATATTGATGAGAGTAGAACGCCCAACTTAGTTGAGTCCAAGCTCTTAAGCATGGGCTGGTTTAGACTTGGGCTGAAGTTTAATTGTGCTAAACATCTTAATCTTTCTCATAACGAGGGCTGTTAGTGAGTAAGGTAGCATGAAAGTAACTTGTGAACTAATTGAGTCCAGTTTAGCGTATTTGGCAAATGAGTTAAGCTTGGATCCAATATCAAGCTTGATAAAAAAAAATGAGCTTAAACTCAAGCCCGCATGATTATTAGTAAGTATTTGATTTAGAATTAAAAATTATAATACATATTTATTACAATTTAATTATATAATAACTTATATAAATTTAATAAGATCAAAATTGTAACTTAAATAATTTATATATTTTGAGTTTTTTATAACTTTTACCAACAAAAATTTGGTTAAATTGATACTTATGAATTTAAAAATTTTAATTTAAATTCAATATTAAAGATTCAAAATTTATGATACAAAGCAATTAAGAAGTGTAAAGATGCACCTAACTTGTAAACCCAACCTTAACACAACTTGAAATAATATTTTAGAGTTTGCATATCTCAACTCGTGACTAGTTAATAACATTTGAAATTGAGCCAAATAAGTTATGGGTTCAAGTTAAGTCAACCTGCAAGTTAACTAGTTGACTTGAGTGTTTTTTATTTTTAATAAACTTACATTTTACTTCATAATTTTCCTAACTCAGACTTAATGTTGCAATCCTTGTTTTTGTCACATCACAAGAAATTCTAGTATATCACAAGTATGCCAACAAATATGGTATCCTAAACCAATCAAACAATCACAGCTCATTAAATTTACTCACCTCATTGTTTCATTAAATTCATTAAAAACATCTCAGCACACGTTAACGGATGCAGTCTAACGAAGCCTCTCCTCATTCCCTTTCTCATCAGTTAGTTCACCTCCCCTCGGTGTATTCTCTTCTCTAATCCTCCCCAAATCTTCCCTTTCCTCCTCCACCCACTACTTTGTCTCTGACAACAACGATGGCAATGATAACCCACCTCTCCAAGAAACTTGCCTCCACTAGATCCCATGTTCTGCGATTTGAGAACACCAGATGCAAGGGGATTTTGGAATTACTGATAAGCTAGTGGATGATTAAAACGACAAATAGAATATGTAATTCCTTAAAAGGTTGTGGAAATTTGGAATGGAGAAAGGAGCACGCAAATTATTATATAAGGGAATTAAGAGAATTAAAAAC